TGAAATCACCTGGCTAAGTCAGCGCCCCCTCAGTCGATGGTGCCCTAGGCAGGCATCACCGCCGGCGCCCCCTGCCTGAGACAAAGTGAAATCACCTGGCTAAGTCAGCGCCCCCTCAGTCGATGGTGCCCTAGGTAAGCATCACCACCGGCGCCCCCTGCCTGAGACAAAGTGAAATCACCTGGCTAAGTCAGCGCCCCCTCAGTCGATGGTGCCCTAGGTAAGCATCACCACCGGCGCCCCCTGCCTGAGACAAAGTGAAATCACCTGGCTAAGTCAGCGCCCCCTCAGTCAATGGTGCCCTAGGCAAGCATCACCACCGGCGCCCCATGCCTGAGACAAAGTGAAATCACCTGGCTAAGTCAGCGCCCCCTAAGAATATGGTGCCGTAGACAGTCGCCTACGTCACTTAACGGGTTAACCGGCCTGGGCCCAGGTGCTGGTTAATTGACTTGGTGTCTGGTGTGTCTGGGGGTCTAGTTCACCGAGCTGTTGTCAAATGTGCCAGGGTTCATTAATCCATAACAAAGTGCGTTGTGGTTTGTGGCTTGTTAGCTGTTTCACTCCATAACTGCCCTCTCACTGCAATCTATTTGTATTCTACTGCGTTACTTGGTTAGAGCCTAAATGTTTGGCAGCAGGAGTATTTTTAGCTGGGTTCGCTCTCTGCAGACTAAGCCATCGTTTAGAAGTTGCGATGTCGCATTTGATTCTCCGCTGTCATCAGCCAGTCTAACCGGGATGCATTTGGCTGCCTGTCAGCTGTGAGAGGATGGAGAATGAGCAGCTAAATTGCACGGCTGCGTGTGCTGACCTACGCGTGTGTGAGTCAGTGTGTGTGTGATCCTGCGACTGCATCTCCTGCAGGAGGGTCCCTGCTGTCTGTACTGTGCTCTCCGTGTACAGTACACGTGTTTGTCTGCACGTTTGTGTTTGCTTTTCGAAACATGTTCATGTGTGTGCGTTTGTGTTTATGTGCATCCTTTTTTAAACGCATATGTAGTGTTCATGTGCTTGTATGTGCAGCTTGGGTAGGAATGTGTGTATCTGTGTGTGTGTGTGTGTGTATATATGTGTGTGTCTGTGTACGTCTGTGTGTGTGTGTGTGTGGGTGTATGTCTGTGTGTCTGTGTACGTCTGTGTGTCTGTGTACGTCTGTGTGTGTGTGTGTGTGTGTCTGTGTGTGTGTTTTTCTGCCTCCATGATTTATGCTCCCACCACACTAATTGCACATTACAGTAATTATGGGAGTTACAGAAAATCAGCTGGGGCTGGCGACTGGGGGGGGGGGGGAGTTTCAGAGAGAGGATGCAAACTCTGCCCCAGAGTGGTGTAACTGGATCAGACTGGCCGCTGAGCCCACCTGCCTGCTGCTGATGGTCCGGCGTCCCACTGGGGGCAGATGATCGCTGGCTTTGGACCTGCGACTGTTCCCCCCCATCCCATGTAACCTGCCCCAGGATTCCACTACGACACTCTGACCCGGAAACCCCGTCCAGCAACATCAGGAAAGCAGTTAAAAGCCAAAGTTGAAGGGATTAGCTGAAGACACTGATGTAGTCATGTAGCTAATCTAGCCTTGGTCGCTGTATCCAAATGCACAGGCAGTGTGAGAGTTTCATGGAGTGTAAATCTGTGTGGGGGGGGGGGGGGTGAATAAAATGCAGTAACATCCGTGGTGTGTGTTGTCTGCCCTCTGTGTGGGCGGCCATGTATGTCTGTGATGGCGACCCTGTTGAGAAGTGGCCTGTTCCCAGACTGAAGACCCATAAACCAGTTACCTGTCCTGAAAGGCAGAACTGGTATAGCAGTGTTATCACTTTAGAGAGCAGGCTACGCAATCTGTAACCCCTGGAAGATTATTCTAGCAAAAGGCACATTGAGTTCCTGTACCTTCTCCTTTGGATGTAGTTTGAGATGTTTTGTAACTTAAATCGTCATGGACGTTTTATACTTTTGGTCCTTTTTTCTCAGCAGGAACACCACAGTTTCTCCCCAGAACACTGCAGTTTCGTGGAGCCAATCAGTGGTTGCGCTTTGCTTTCCTATTTCCGCGAGCTGAAGGAGGAGCGCATTGGCTGCCCGCGAGTCGCTGCGAGGCAGGACCTGCACCGCACCTCCATCCCCCTGGCACGATTCTCCGCGAGCTCCCTCTCCGTTTGCGCGTCCTACCATGGGGGCTGTCATAGCTCTCAAGTGTAGTTAACAAATCCGCCCCCCCCCCCACCGCTGTTCAATATCTGCCAAAACACCGGCTGTGGTCACAGGAACGCATCGCTGTCAGTTATCATATAATCTGGCATAATGTAAAGGATTTTATTTCAATCAAAGTTGTTATTTAATTATATATATATATATATATATATATATAGCACTGGCTGAGAAAACACACAGAGTCTCGTTGTCAATGTACAATGACAATAGAGATATATTCTATTCTGCTTTATATTCTCATCCACGGGGCCAGTAACTAGGCTATAATAAGGTGCTGTTACGCGGTTCTGCCGGTGCCGCGCATTCACAGACCCAAATCCCCTACAACAGGTTTTATTTGTTGCGTCTTTAACGATTTCTTGGGAAATTTACTCTGGGAATTTCTACGCCGCGTCCAAAAGCTATGTAATCAATCAGGATAGCGCTCCATGCAGATCTTCTCATCCTCTGAGGAGGTCGCGGGTGTCTTTGGATGTGTGTGGCGATCAGCGGGGTCTTTGGCCGGGCTGCGCCCCTGACTCCTCCCGGTAAAACACGCCGCTGAGTAACCGAAGTACGGCGCTGCCGTCGGACGCTTCATTACCCTCCCCCGCATTGTAGACCCCCGGCAGACGCATCCACCCTCCCACTCACCCACACACCCCATAGCTGCACTTTGCGGAGAGTACAGACTGGGGGAGTGCGAGGTTTCATAGTAAGAGGGATCAGAGAGGAAGATGGCGCTGTCAGGACCGAACAGCTCCCTATTGCAGGCTGATCCTCGAAATTAATCACAGAAAATACATATAGGCGTGTTTGTTAATATATTCTAATGCCGGCAAACGTCCGCTTGTGTTTTGAGTCTTACTTATTTTGCCATACAAATAGGCTTCGATTAATCGGACTGTCAGAGGAATGGGATACTGGTGCCATCCAAGGCTTGGTGCAGAGACCAGGGATGGTAATTAGAACAGTGTAGCGGCATTACACTGCCCGACACTCCCTTTTTACACTGAAATCAAACGAAAGCAGACTTTTAAATGCCGTCTGGGCTGATGCGAAACGAAAGTAACGGCAACGTTTCTCCTAAATCTGAGTCGTTTTGCGGAAAAACAGGAAACAGGCGCTGGGAGCCGCTGTGAAAAGATGGCACGTTTGAGTCAATCCACCTTTCGCTTTCACCCCTTAAATTAGCGTTTCGCGCCGCCTTTTTTAATCCACCCTGCAAGATAATCGAAGAGGAGGATGTCCGCAATATTATTTGCCATGTCAGTGTCTTCGTCGTTTTTCAGCCCGGCTTTTGCCTTCAGCTCGCAGCTCGACTCAGGTGAGTCCGAATTAAAGAGCCGTAAAGCTGCCGGACAGCCGGCGCCGCTGCTCCGCTGCCTGACAGTTTTCTGCTTGGTGCCTCTTGGTGAATATAAACACTTGCCACCTGACAGCGATTCATTCGTTTTTATCCGGTGGTGAGATAAGTGTTTTTTTTTATCGAAATAGCCTACGTGTCGGTATCTGGGATTTGATAGAAAAAGCAATAGATCCAGAGTATATCTCTGCAGCACGTTTGTTTTTAAATGGTCGAATTGTATTTGGGGATGCTATTTCTATTGTCTTCTAATACATTTTTTGCACGAGAGAGAAAGAGGGAAACAGGGTCTAGGTCTGAGCACCTGAACTCCTCTCATGACAGATGCTGCTCTCGTACTGATTGATGCCTGTGTCATTTGAAAATTAAAACCAACATGACCAGCATAAAACAAATAAACGTTTTAATTGCATAATAAAAACAGAACAAGATGTATGGCTTAAGCTTTATGTTCTTTATCCATAATGAAAGTACCCGTCTCTGCTTAGTACTCCTCATCACGTATATGGATGTCAAATCTGCATGTTTTTTTTGTTTTTTTTTTTTTGTGGGAGGGGGTAGGTGGGTAAGGCTTTCTGCCGATGGGGGAGGGGCACCGCTGAGATGCGCACGAGGCTCCCCGCACCCCGCGCCGGCCAGGCGGGTTTCGTGGGACACAAATTTCACGCGCGAGGATGGAAGATGAAGGCAGATGCCCGCTAAATACCCCCCTACCCCCACCTCCCACTCACCAGAAAAACACAAGAAACGCAGTTAGAGGATGGTTACAAAAAGGCAGTCTATACTGATGAAATACAAGAAGAAATTCGGTTTTGTGGAAATATAGCTGAAATCGGAATCTTCAGCGTATCTGATATATCGCTTTGTATTACAGGCTTTTGGCAGAATGAGCGATGGTAAGACAGAACTGAAGAGGCTGCGTTTCAAATATAGCATTAAGCTGCGACTAAAGGCACGGTACTGCTGACTGCATTTAAAACTCTGTTATTATTATTATTATGCTTGAGCCAATGGGATTGATTTCGGCTTTTATGGTGGTTTTGTTCACTTACATAAATGCTAAGCAGCAAACCTCTTGGCCCCCAGAGCGGTTACTATGGCGACCAGGAGGGCTGCAGCCCTATCACTCTCCGTTTTCCGGACCCCATATAGACTGATCATGTGTACCTGTAAAAGGCAGGAAGGGTCAGCTGAGTCCAAGGGCCCCTGAGTGATTGGGGCCCTAAATAATTTGGAACATAATTAGATCGTCTGGGCTGTGGTATGATGGCTTTCATGGGGCACCTTTACCCTCCAGTATTTAATTAATTCATTCATCGCCCTCAGTAAACCAACCTTTGTATCTGAATTACACAGTTGTGTCCACAGTACCAAACTCTCTCCTACCACACTGGCAGTGAGGATTTTTTTTGATGACACCTCAGAATACGAAGTAGTTATTCCTCCCTTTTTAAAATCACCAAAGTCATATGCAGTTTATGTCTGATCTGGTACTTTTCACTGAGCAGTATGTGCTTCTTAAAAGCAGGTCTGCATTTAACCATTCGATCAACTATGAATAAATATCTGTATCGCGGTATTACAGGACAATCTAGATTAAAATGAGATGATATTCATCTCTTTAAAGTAGTTCTCCAAGTGTGTGTGCGTACGACATGCATGTTTTGGCTGTGCGATTTTATGCGCCGGTTCTGGGAGACTGACAGACGTCCAGGCCTTCTGTACTCTGCAGTGCCCTGCTCGGGTGTGTATAAGCACACGCAGAGACTCTCTCTGGCTCAGATTTCCAGTGTCAGTGTGCGACAGCAGTTTTTCCTTCCTTTTTTAACTGCAAGCCTGCTTGCAGAGCTGCGTCTCCGAGAGCAGCGGTGCCTCCACACACGCCGCGGAATCACCAGCATCTCCCCTGCCCCCCCCCCCCACAGAACTGCCCCTCAGCTGGCTACCCTGGGGGGCTGGCCGAGGCAGCTGAGGATGTCGTTATTGCTTTTTGAAAGCCCCCCCCCCGTAATACACTGTTATATAATCCAGCTACATGCCATAACTGAACTTGTGACCCTCCCCCCCAAACTTGCGTGTTTCCACTTGTACTGGCAATCGCCCTGTGTCTCCCATCATCTCAATGCTGTTGGTGCAACTGAACATCCAGTTGCAGAGCATGAGGTGGGGGGGGGGGGGGGCATGCCAAGAGATGCATTGTTTCTCCAGCTCCAGACAGGCCCACTTGAGAGGAATTTGGAATTTTATTCCTGACAGAAAGAAAAAAAAGTGAAATCTGTTGTATGTGTGAGCAGTGGGGTAAGAGTGAAGGGGGTGTGCAGTTCAGTCACACAAATTCACGTGTCATGTGATTTCCCAAAATTCCAGGTGGAGGTGTTGCTGGGCGACACTGAGACGTGGCTTTGGTCTGCTCTGCGGAATAAACGCGCATGTTGCAGAGACGATGGACGGCGAGCACCCATGTCCTGTATGGTCTCCCCCCCGTGAGACAGCGCTGACGGGATTGTGGTCAGTGCGTTAAACGCGGGGGCTTTGCTGACTCACGGGATGCGAAGGGAGTTTCATCCTGGCATGGTTTTGCGTCTTACCTTGTGTTACTCCATGTGCTAAACATAAGGGATGGGAGGAGGGATCAGGGACTTTTCTAGAAGGCGGGAGATGGTGTAATGAATGCAGCAGAGAGGGACTATAGCAAAAGGCAGTGGAGGGAGGGAGGAGATGAACAACATCCAGAATGGGTGTTGGGTCACAGACATGCTAGGAAAGATGGCTGGTTCTGGGTGTTTTCCTGAGGTGGTATGTGGCTTAGCAGGTTAGGATGCCTTGCCTGTAACCAGAATGTTGCTGGTTTGAATCCCATGGGTGGGGAGTGATTTCTCTGTTGGACCCTTAACCCCAGTTATCTGAGGGACGGTCTGACCCCCTGCTTTCTCAGAATAGATGTATGTTGAATTAGATTAAAATATCTGCAAAGTAAATTAAATTAATTATATTTATTCAGGACAAGAGTGAGTCGTCTGATTGCAGTTGACATTCTGAGTCCCTTATTTTCACACGTTTACAGTCACAGATTTTCACTCAAAGCCTTGTTTCATAACTTTGAGTCGTGTTTGGTTTGGCGGTGGAAGGAGAGCGATGCCGTTTGGCAGACGGGGGGGGGTGATAGGGGTGATTTGGTGCTGCATACAGGCAACACGCACTGCAGGCCAGCTGTGTTTTATGTGGAGTAGGCCCCTTCTACACCGGGGGGGAATCGTCAAGTGGGCAGGGGGCTCTAACTGTGACTGTGGTTTGTAAGGGGGCATCAGAGGTGGGGTCTCTTTATCCTTTATCAGTGCGGCATCCTGATGTATCTTTGGGTGTGATGCTTTTCAGGCTGCGTGCCCAGTGACACCCCCTGGCCCACAGTGTCGCTGATGTTCAGCGCACCCCCAAAACTTCCTTGGCTCGCTTTTGAAGCTGTCGTCTCGTGCTTCTCCTCCTCCCCGTCCAGCACTCGCTGTTCTACCCTCTGATGTCCTCATGCCATCTGTCGCCACAGCAGCCTGTTGCCATTTTCGCATCGGCATTCGAAGATTTGCGAGGGATCGCAGCTCGGCGCCGGCGTGAATGCGAGGTGCCCGGTCGTGAGGCGGTTACTCGAGACCTGAACATGAGCACCACGGATCCCGGAGAAGGCCGTTCAAGCCTGGAAATATATTTAGCATCGCACAACACTTAAACGGGGAGATACGGACATCGCTTGGGGTAGAATAAGTTGATAATGAAGTCGCAATAGTCGTGAACTTGAAGCCAAGTTCAGATTTGTGCTGCTGGATGAGGGCCGTCTTCTCTGAGCCGTAATGGGCTTGTTATGCAATGTCGAACTGCTGGTGCAACACAAGAACATCAAAGCTTCCTTAGATGCTGGATAAGAGTCTGACAAAAGTCAATACGTTTTTCCTCCACTGTCTCCCTGGTGGGCGGGGAGGGGGGGGGTGTTGTTTTCGGAAGCCTCTTCGTCTTTGCGCTGGCCGAAACGGATTTGTCGATCTGTCGGGCTGCAGTGCCGAGCCCACGCCTTCTGGAGCTCCCCACATCGGCGGTGAGTCGGGATCACGCTCGACACTCTGCTGCCTTGAGACGTCAGCTCAGATCTCCTCTTTTATCTTTGATACAGGAAGTGCGCTGTCATCCGGGCTGACAAACATCTTAAGAGTTCCTTGCTGACGGTAAACATGGTTATTTCGGTACATGTGCCCCTCACTCTCTCATCCACTGCCTCTGGGCCAGAATCATTGCTGCCCTGGTGCCTTGAGTCACTTCCTCGAGAGGCTGTTGATTGGTTAATCTCTCCTCCCTGGCACCTCGAGAGGCTGTTGATTGGTTAATCTCTCCTCCCTGGCACCTCGAGAGGCTGTTGATTGGTTAATCTCTCCTCCCTGGCACCGCCTCTTTGGTACACATGTATTACATCACTTCATATTTATGTCCAGGTGATTCAGTGGTACTAACCAGACGGCAGTCTCGCTTCCCATCCCATCGCCACGTACCTCTGCTCCTGCATGTCTCCCTCAGGTGACTTGACTGAATTTCACGACATCGGCTTGCCCCTAACTTTCTGGGAATGACGTCGACATGCATGGGAAACTTTGCGGGTTCAAATCCCTCAAAGGGAACTGGAGTAATACCCAATATAACAGCACGTAACCTAGATTACATTAGTAAATATTTAGTACATAGAGTTTTATTCATATCACCATGAGTGAAACCTTAAGCAAAGTAAGCAATGAGCTACTAAATAACTCCTTATGTTGTGTTTATGTGCTGATATTATGAAATGTATATCAGACGTCAGTTATTCTGGAATACAGTTCAATGTACTGCTGTTGCTCTGATTGGTTACCTGAAAGTGCTGCTGTCTGATTGGAGGGCTGTGCTGCCCCTGGGCTTGGATTCAGCACCAAGGACAGATCTTGGGG